AGAAAGACTCTGGTGGCAGGTTAAAAGTTGGAGTTGGATCAACTGCTTGTAACAATTATGGTTGTTGATCACGTTTGGAGTGTGTGAACTGCTTGTAACAATTATGGTTGTTGATCAACTGCTTGTAACAAGAAAGACACCATTGGAGTCAAAGGGAAGAGGAATAGAAGGAGTAGGTTCACGTCTAGAGAAATAGGATAAACTCTCAAAGAAGTTAACATCCAGTGCAACAAAAGCTTTCTGTAGAATAGGATCATAACACTTGTAACCTTTTTGAGTACGAGAGGCACTAAGGAAAACACATCTGATAGCCTTATAGTCAAGTTTATCATGGCCTTGACCCAATTTGTGAACAAAGCACATGAGGAGGAAGAGAGAAAGGGGAAGTTGAAGGAAACAAAATAGAGAAAGGTGACTCAACATCTAGGACTAAAGAGGGCAAACGGTTTATGAGAAAACAAGAGGTGAGGATTGGATCACTCCAATATATTTTAGGGACCAACATTTGAATCAGCAAGACCCAAGTAGTTTCAATCACATGACGATTTTTCCTTTTGGCCACACCATTTTGCTAAGGAGTGTGTGAACAGGAGGACTAATGAATAATATCGTGAGAGTCAAAATAAGACTGAAAACTTTTATGGAAGTATTCTTTGGCATTATCAAAACGAAAAACTTTAGTGTATACACCAAATTGATTCCTTATCTTAGCATGAAAAGATAGAAAAATAGAGAACAATTTTGAACGATCCTTCATTAAGTAAATCCATGTCATTCTTGAATAGTCATCAATAAATGTTACAAAATATCTAAATCCATTATAAGATGACACACGACTAGGGCCCCAAACATCTGAGTGGACTAAAGCAAAAGGACTTAGGACTCTTATCATCTCTAGGAACAAAAATCACTCTATGATGTTTGCTTAACTAACATGACTCACAATCTAACTGAGTTACAAACTCCAGCATTGGGACTTGCTTTTTCAAAACACACAAAGAAGGGATGACCAAGACGACAACGCCACTTATGTGGTGTAAGAAAGGAGTGAAGAACCTTCTAAAGACCATGGTCATCCAAGTAATACAATCCTCCAATTTCATGACCGCCACCAATCATCCTCCCCGTCTTGAGATCCTGAAAGACAGTATGAAGGATAAAAGGTTACTAAGCAATGAAGGATTTGAGTAAACTTACAGACAAGAGACTAAAGAGAAACATGGGAACATAAAAAATCGAGCATAAACTAAGGTTAGAACCAAGAGACACATTACCGGTACCAACAATAATGGAAAAAGAACCATCAACTAAAGTAACAATCAGGGATGTAGAAGGTGGTGACAAAGATACAAACATATCTGAGGAGCCAGTCATGTGGTCTGACGCTCTAGAATCAATTGCCCAGGGTGAAGGTGTAGAACTAGAAACAAGGCAAGCAATACCTAACTTCACAAGTTTAGCAATGGCAAAACTGGAAGAAGCAGACTGGCAAAAGTGAGATAGAGATTGTGTCTTTACCCTTACCAACATTAAAAGCAAGAGCATCTTTAGTCAGACAAAGACTCCCAAAGTCACCTTCCACCATTGCATGGTTAGCCAAAGAAGATGGAGGCCAAAAAGATCATAACAAAAGTTGACTATGTGACCTTCTCGTCCACAATGTGAGCACTCACGAGCTGAACCACGACTACCACCACCTCTTGCATTGCCAACCTCTCTACCACCTCCACATCAACCACTAGGCCCATGGCCAAAACCCCTCACACTACCTCCACCTCTAACACGCATATTTCTACCAGGAAAGCCTCCTATGAAAATCACCATGGCTGATCTTTCTGAAGATGGGGAATGATCACTATGTAGATTTGAGTTTCTCCTTATGTGGGAGAAAACCTCAAACAAGGATGGAAGATCACTACTACCTAAGATTTGGGCCCACATTGGTTCGAATTCAAGCATCAACTCAAATAAAAACCTTGCCACATTTAGATGTTCTCTTTGTTCTTGTTGAGTCTTCAAACCAGTGGATAAGGGTTGATAAACATTAAGCTCATTCCTTAAGCTTTTTAAGGAAGCATAATATTCGTCAACACTTTTATCCTCTTGTTGAAGAGAAAAATAGTCTTGGTATAACTGGTAAATTCTTATTGTCTTGTCTAGAATATCTCCATAATATTCTAAAGAGATGTCATAATTTATGCATTCTCTTGTACCCATTCATTTTACCCTTCTGATTCACTTTTCAATGGATCCTCCTTAATGTACTTCAACTTGCCTCTTGCAATGAGAGATACCTCAACCGACTTGGTCCATGGGATATAATTAGTGCCATTAAGTTTCATTGTAGTTAACTGAAAAGTCATGAGATCTGATTGCACAACTACTATAGGTTTGGTGTTATCACTTGATGAAGCCATGAATATGAGAAGAGATCACTACTGTTTCACCTAGGCAAACGGTCAAACAGCTAGTATGCACCTACTGTAGCACACTTTTTCCTTCGGAAAAAAAACCAAAAATCACCAATATTCTACTTTAGAAACACTAGGGGAAGATCATACACTTACCACAAGATGTTACCACACCACAAAATCACCACACATTAAGAAGCACTTACCTCACAACTTGAGACATCACAAGATTGCCCTCTTCGAACTACCGAATAGAGAGCTTTTAGAAAAGCACCACCAACTCACACAACACTGCAACTTGAGGCATTAAAGCCTCTTTTCCAAGGGGGGTGATCAGTCCTCTTGAGTCCTTTTACTTTCCACCAAAGAATAGAGAATATTCTCTATTCCTAGGGCACATAAAAGTTGAGACATGAACAGTGCCATGAACAATACAGTCGACCTCAATCAATAGAGAAGAAAAGTTGAGAAGAACTGGTGACCAAACTGCTTTTAGTCTTAGAACCGATGCTCTAATACAATGTTTTCTTGGTAGAAACGTTGCTGAATAGAAGAGAGAAGAGGGAAGAGAAGAAGGGAAGAGAGGAGAGAAAGATTTGGAGTCAAAAAGATAGGTTGGCAGCACCAACATCACTATTTATATTAGGGCAACAAAATAAAAGAGAAAAACCAACAGTGCCCTGGTACTCGACTATTAGGAAATCTCTTCGTCTAGTAGTTGACTACTACGAACAGTATACTGTTAGTAGTTGACTACTAAGAAATCTCTGCATGAAGTGGTTGACTACTAGCAACAGAGTACACTATTTCTAACAATTCTAACATATACCTATAAAAAAGGTCCAAAAGTTAATCTTTGTTGCTTAACAACAGATAAGTTGGCTAGGAGAAGTTTAAGGGTGGAGCCCAGCAGGTGTGTTATGAGGGGGGAAGCTTCTGAAGATTTGGGTCATCTTCTGGTCCATTGCGGACTAGAAAGGGTTTTATGGGCCAAGTTTCTGAATGTTTTTGAGCTTCGGTTCTGTTTCCCACATAGTTTGGCGGCTTTACTTTGGTGCTAGGATCTGAAATGTCTATGTAAATAAGGAAAGATCATTTGGAGATCTGGGCCTGCAGCTGTGGTTTGGACAATTTGGATGGAAAGAAATAGGAGGCCTTTCGAAAATAAGTACAAAACAGAATTATGAAGGATTTTTTAGGTAGGCTGTATTCTTGGGTAAGGAATACAGAAAAGTTTCAAAGTCAGACCGTATACTTCTTTTTTTTTATTTAAGCTCTCTTTTTGTACCTATGCACACAGGATAGGAATTAGGAAATGTACAGAAAGAAAATAGGCCTTGCACACGGCCTTGTTGTGCAGGGGTTGTAATCTTTTCCTATTTTGATTAATACAATACTTTACCTTCTATGTCAAAAAAAAGCTTATCTGCTTATCTTTGTTGCTTAATACATGTTTATGAAAATAATGGCATTCATGGTGTATATTAGCTGTTCATTATGCCAAATAAGCAAGTTGATAAAAATGTTACGTCCAAGTGTCCATCAAGAATCCTTGGAGTGCCTGAATCCAATGCATCCGACATGGACAGTTCATCATATAGGGCATGCACCACTATGTCTATTCTTAACTTTCCTATCACTCCAGGACCCTTTACTAGATTGTAGTGAATATTGTCGCACTGTAGGTACTCTTCAATATCTTACCGCTACAAGTGCTATTTTCCTTCAAAGTCAACAAAGACTACAAAGTGTGCTAGTTTATAAACAAACCACCTCTGAGCATTGGGCAGCTGTCAAATGCATCATTAAGTCATGAAACATTCTCTTTCTCCCCCTACTTTCCAATGACCTAAGCTTAATTTACATGTGTAATCCAATGTTGACTGCATGAAGTGCCTGATGACTGGCAATCTACAAGCAGATAAATTATTTTCCTCATAATCTCATTTGCTAGTTTTCTTGCAAACAGGAAGTAGTTACTGCTGAATTGACATGGATTCAATCCATTCTTGGTGAGTTTGATCTCTCATTTGCTAGTTTGCTTTCGTTTATTTAACTGCCTGTGTTGCAATTCATAATGAATGAAACAAATTACTCTGTTTTTCACTTTGTTCATGAAGCCCGTGAGGGAGCCTTATTAGTAGCCATTTTTTCTAACTCATTGCAAACTGTTTAACTGGTTATAATCTTTAATGTCAAAACTGTAAATTACAAATAGAAGTGATCCAAACATCTCAAAGGTAAAGTGAGGGGTAAATGCTCCTTTGATTGTTTTAAGTAATTAAGTTGAAAGATAGTCTGCAATTCAGAAACAATAAAGGTTTGAGTTAACTTCAAATTTTTGGGAAATAAACGAAAGAATGGTCCAAGAGCTAACAATCAATAAGGCATTGAATAAGCTTAGATCGTTTTGTCACTTTAAAGATATATTTGATTTTACCTAGCATTTCCCAAGGTTATTTATTTTCCTTTTCTAATTAAATCTTCTTATCCAGCTGAATTTATTGAATTGGTTTGTGAATACCAATACTTAAGCCGAAGGTTGCTATGAACAATCCAACTTCAAAAAGACAGGCATACGAGATTAACCTGCGTAAATGCGAACAGTCTCCACCCTAGCCACTTCTTTTGCTAGTGAAGGCAGCTCTTTCACTAGAATCTGCTCCGCTCTGCCTAAATTCTCTCCATCACTTCCATCTAAAGACAAAGTCAGAGAGATTTTGGAATTTGGATTTTGCATCACAGTATAAGAAAAAAAAAAGCCCTCGACAATGGTGCAAAAAGAATAGAAAGAAGTGAAAAACAATAGAAGACGAGGGAAATCAGGCAAACCTAGGAATAACCCTGAAACGCACGTTGATGACCTAAGATCGTTCAATTTGGCCTTGATTTCATTGAAAAGACCTCCGATTCGTTCTGACTGGGAAGCATACGCGACGATACTTGCCTTAAGTTTCTGGTTGAGATCCGTGAGATTGTGATCCAAATCCAAGCACTGTTTATCCAATTCCAATACGAGGTCCGAAGCTTTAAGCAGATCATCTTTTGTCCGAAAATTTTCTCCGAGAAAAGAAAGCAGAGCGGGAGAGAAGTCCCAAAATTGGTGCAAATGATCGATTGATCCCATCTTCAGCCCATGAAAATTCAGAACTCCATTTCAAATCCGTATGGGAGTAATTCAAAAAATTAGGCTTTTGTTTCTCTCCTAAAAAAACCTGACTACGAAATCCTACAATTAGGTTTTGCTTCGTATACGAGTGGTGGAGTGGAACCAGAGCTCATCTTCTATTCACTTCACTCTTTGCGGAGCGGGAAGACACCAAGGTGACCATGGTACGCGCGTTGAAGGATTTGCTGGTTGCTGCTTTGGCGGTAGGAAACTAGGAATGGCCAACGGAGAGGGGCGGGGCGGGGCGGGGCGGATTTTCATMCCCGGACCGCCCCATACCCGCTCGGGCCGCTCCGTACTTCCGTAGTCCATACTGTGGCCCGGCATGGCCCACATTTTTGTGCCGCCCGCACTGTAAGGCCATGCCGGGACGGCTCGAGCTGATATGGCCACAGTAGGAATGGCAACGGGGCGGGGACCCCGACCCCTAAATCACCTCATCCCCGTTTCCGATCTTCGGTGGGGAAAGGAATCCCCCTCCATCCCCGACCCTGATAAGGATGAATTTCTGTCGGAGACCCAAATCCCCAACGAACTAGAGTGTATCAATGTAAACTTGGGTGAGTATGTAACAGAGAGATTGACTGAGAGAGAGAAAGAGAGAGAGAGAGAGGACCATTGCGAGAGTTGAGGTCGGCGATGAGAGAGAGTCCGACGGGCGACAATGACGGCGGTCAGCGACTGTAGACGAAGGTTGAAGGATTGAAACTCTTCTTTGAATATCTCTTCTCTATCACTCAAGAAGGCACAAAACTAGGGTTCTGACGACGACGGCGATCGATGAATCGGTGATTCGGGCAACGAAGACAAAGGCACGCACGAAGCTAGGGTTCAGTCGTTCAAGAGACAGAGTTGAGAGTTCTCTCTTCTCTCCATCAAAGACTCGAAGTTGAACTGTCGAGGGTTTTGTGTTTTACACTTTTACTGTTTTTTAAGTTTTAATATTTTAAAAAATGAATAATATTATATTATATATAACTATATATATTAAATTGGGGTCGGGTCGAGGCGGGGATTGCATTCCCCATCCTCGTCCCCGAACCTGATCAGGGATTCAGAGATTGCCCCAACCCCATCGGGTTGGGGAGCCCGGGTACTCGTCGGGGACAGGGAAAATTGCCACCCCTAGGCCATAGGGGGCAGCACGAGCCTAGGCCTATAACACGATTTGTATTTTTCATTTTCTTTCTTTTTATTCACTACAAAAAATAAAAAAAAATAATAAAAATAATTGAAGTAAAAAATGTCAAATTCAATGATTGTAGCAATAATTAAAAAAAAATCATAATAAAATTTTATTTCATATGAATAATTAATTCATACGATAAAAATATAAAATGATTAAATAAATTTGGAAATTTTACAATGAAATTGAAAAAATTATATAACAAAATAAAAAATAAAAATTTACAATGGAGCTGAAAAATTTATAAGTAACTTACAAGGTACAAATAAAATTGAACAACATCTCAAATTTTACAATAATCTAAACAATTTTCTTCAAGTTTCACTAACTGGTGATACATTGGGCGACATATCATGTCCTCTTTTATCTTACGGTTTATCTTTTGCATCAAACCAATATTTTAGACAAATGCACATCTCCAATGTTTCATCTATCATCATCTGACTCCTCTTCTCATCTAACACTCTGTTTCCTACATTAAAACAAAACTCCAATGCTATTGTGGACACTAGAGGGATTAGTAGATCGTGTGTCACAGTGGCAATTATAAGATAATTATTTTTCTGTACTTTCTACCAGGCAAAAATATCAAAATTTTCTATGTTGGACATCTAAAAGTCTGATAGATGTCTTTTCAAATGGTCAACGACAATACTATTTTGATAGAAAAAATCACGTTTACATTTGTTACAAAATGCTTTCATGCCATTTCTAGTTACATCCTTGATGGTAAAATAATTCCAAATATCACTAGTTTTCTTTCTTGTTACCCTAAAATTACTAGGGCTAGCATCAAACTGGGTTTGAGAGGGGGTCTAAGAGGAACCAACCATTTAAATAAATATTAAAATCTAAATTTTATAAAAAAATCCAGCTAATTCGATAATTGCACTTTGGTCCTTAGAATTCAGTCTACCGGTTTGGTATTTCAATTTGAAAGCAAAGCTTTTAAGTATCACAAATTGCCAACTTCAGCTGAGATACTCAATCAAGTCTCCTTAAAATTAAAAAAAAAAAAAAATTGAGAACATGAGAGTAGAGTAGTATGATATGAAATATTATACTTGATTGTTGTTATGAATATGGGCAAGGGCTAAGGTATTTATAGGGTTAAAAATAATTGAATTAACCAAAATACTCTCATAAACTAATTGTTTATAATTGTTGAGAGAGGTATTTTGGTTATTTATAAAGTTTATTTATCACTTTACTTGAAAATGCCCCTAAACTAGTTGTTTATAACTATTGGAGGCATTTTAGTCATTTTTTTGCACCCCTTGGTTAAAATACACATACCTCCCCAAAATAGTTGTTTATAGGGGTGAGCATAATTCGGTTAAAACCGAATAACCAAATCGAAAATTTCGGTTTTGGTTTTTTTTTTTTGGTTAAATTGGTTTGACTATTTCGGTTTTTGGTTATTTTGGTTTTCGGTTTCGGTTTTTGGAATTAGAATTTTGGTTATTGAATTAATTGAACTTTTTATTATTATATATAATATACTAAAATTTGATTTCATAACATATATTTTATAATATATAATATATATAATAAAGTATATATTATTAAAATTCGGTTTTAACCGAAATAACCGAAAACCGAACCAAAAATTTCAGTTTCAATTATTTTGGTTTTTCTAAATTTCGGTTTCGGTTTCGATTTTTATTTTTTCAGTTCGGTTTTTAAATTTTGATTTATTCGATACTCGAATAAACTAAATGCTCAAGTCTAATTGTTTATAGTTGTTAGAGGGTATTTTTGCCATTATAGCCCCTTATAATGGCTATAAAACGGTTATAATAAGGTGAGGAGGGCCAAGTCATGCCACGAGCCATGATGCGTGCCGTGCTCGTGCTGGGCCATGTGTCGTATTGTGCCTAGCACACGAGTCATGCCAACACAAGCCCACACTGGCCATGGATCGTCGAATTGGTCCACGTGGCAGTTAACCCAGATCCATTTTTCACCCTCATATAGATCACTCATTCAGATTCAATAATATTTAATTATATCTACTTATACTTAAATAAATTTAAATTGTGTCTATTAGCAAAAGTTGGTTTGATTGTTGCATATTTACTCGAGAGTCATAGATTCAAATCTCATACAGTTAATTCAAGTAACCATATTCATTATCATACAATATCGTCATTTTTAGCTGTTTTCATTAATAACGTTCTATGTAATATTGTGACAAATTTTAGTTTAATATTAAATATCAAAATCTAATCCAAATACGATCTAAATCAGTGGATAAAATTCCATGAACGAATCTAGATATTAATTATTCCAATTTAGATCTAGGCATACTTAATTTGATCCAATCCAGGCCCCACCCTCACCAAAAAGACATTGAGACATTCAGAAAGATATTATGATAGATTTTCTCTTATGAGAAAAGAAACTCATTTGGAACGGCATCTACATTTGGGATGAATTGTGTTAAATGAGGCATGATAGTTGAGCACTCTGTGCCGAACGAACAAGTTGCGTGGAATAGCTGGCAAGTGACATGTTTAAAGTGTGAGTGGCTTCCAATGATCACCCTCCTCCAGAGACCTCGTGGTTGGCCAATCCAAACTCTGTCTCAGTTGATCATCAATACCACATACGAATACTCGCATCGCATTGAATTATTGAAACCAAAGTGCCCTTAAATTTGCCGCTGGTTGACCTCCAAGTTTTGCTGTGGAACTATCACTTTTTTTCTTTGTTTTTTTTTTATTATTATCCCTTTTTCATTAACAAAATACGCCACAAAAGCACAGTCCTTGCCACTTGGAGGAGTAGGATCTAAGTGGAAGATGAGTGTGATTTGCTTATGCCAACCGTTATTCCTTTTTGGGGACAGCAACCCGACCATACAAAACAAACTAACAAACCTTTTGAGCATATAAAACAGCGTGGTTGCTCTTGCTCAAGATGGTTCGGCACCCTTCATTCAAAAGGGCAAAGTTAAAAAAAGACTGACTAATGTAACCAAATCAGAATCCTATTTGAAAGGTTACATATGGGTGCAAGTCGGACGGATTAATTTGGGTCAAGGTCAACCTAAACCAACTCAAATTGTAGAACCCTTAATCTAACCCTATTACTTCATATTGGGTTGGGATCGGATCAGACTCTGATGGGTTTGATTTCTTCACTTCTTTTGGGCCGAAACCTTCTTATTTCCAGTATGCAGTAGGTAAGGTTTATCGACTTCAGCTGTTTAGCATTACCATTATGTAATAGAAGAAAGTTATGATGCTTGAGGAATAATACTATACATTTTTTGGGTTGGGTTCAAGCTAACCCAGCCCAAGTTGGACTCCTGAGTTAACTGAAATATTATATGTCCCATCGTTATGCCAAACATATCTCAGCGGAGTAAGGGGGCGTTTGTCGATGTGAATGGTTTTCTTCTCTAAAACAAAATCAACTACCATATCAGCATTTTTGTATTATTTTTGCTGACATAACAGTAGGGCTATTCACGGGTCAGGTTGGGTCGGTTACTGAGGTTTTAGTCGGGTTATCTGAGATGGAAACCGAAACCGACCCAGTGTTAAGCGAAACCGACCGGTTCGGTTTGAGTCGGGTTGGGTCAGTTTGGGTCGATTTCGGCTCTAAGTTCATCCATGCCCCCCCCCTCCATGGCCACCTAGTTTTCTGGAAATATATTTAAAACTGAAATATGTATTTTAGAAATATATATATACACACAAATATATTGGAATATATATTTTCAGATATTTCAGTTTTTAGTTAAGTAGGAACTAAGTCGGTTCGGTTTCGGTTTTCACACAAGAAAACCGAAACCGACCCGAACCATCGGTTTATGAATTTGTACAACCCGAAACTGACCGGTGCGGATGAAAACCCGGCCAACTCGGGTTGGGTCGATCCGGGTTGGTCAGTTTGGTTGGGTTGGGCCTTCTTATGAACAGCCCTACATAACAATTGTTTTTTATTTAGAAAACAATACCATTCCACATTTGCAAACACCCCGTAAATGAGCTACCATATAAGCCAGTTGGATGATAAACTGTCCTCTTTGCTCTCCAATGAAGTCACCATTATGTAAGCCCTGTAAACTGTCATCTAAAAGTTGTAGGATCAAACTCATAGTCTCCTATAACTGAAAACTCTGTAAACTATCATGGTGTTTGGAAGCATGGGCGTTTTTTGAGACCGATTTTCAACAAAAAACACCTATGCTTCTAAGACCATTTTTTCACAAAAAATGCTTTGATTTTGTTTGGGAGTGTTTTTGCCACATAGGCTGTGAGCAATACTATACTGTTTAGTAAGGTGATTTTCATCATCATTTTTCATGTATATGCACACATTACCCCATAAGATAATGCGTACTAATATCATACCAAAATATATAACGATGCTTACCAAATAGTCTAGATTAATTGGATGATTGTTTTTTAATATTTGGCCTAAAATTTTAAATCCAATGGTTGAAAATGTTGTTGGAATAAATCAACAACATCAGCATGAATAATGGCATCATATCCAACGACTGTGCGTGATCCAATTCACCTAAATGCTTCTGATTACATCCTTGATATATGAAGGTTCTCAATTCACCTTCTTGCTATATGTTTTAGGTGTAAACACCCTTAGTAAATCACTTCCCACCCAAAGAAGAAAAGTACAGTGGTGACTAGTGGGAAGAACGAAGAAGAAAATATGTTTAATTGCCTAGTAGGCTAAATCTACAGTAGTTTGTAACCACCCTCTTTGACCTAAGAATAAAGTCCCATCTCTTCTTTTAGCGTGGAAGGCTGGAAATACATACACTGATACACAGGAACGAGAGAGGATGCTACCGACTGCCGCTGTAAAGCCTCTAATGGCGACGCACCCAGCTCTGTAGATCAGTGGTTGGAGGCAGAAGGGCAGAGCTTCAACCCACCCAGCTCTGTTCCAGAGAAGGCTTCGATAGATCAGTGGTTGGAGGCAGAAAGGCAGAGCTTCAACCCACCCAGCTTTGTTCTTGTGTTTCAGCTTGCGCTCGCACCAAGGATGAAGCTCAAGCAGGACGAGGGCTTGATCAGACAGAATAAGGAGAAGCTGGGGAAGATACTTGACGTGTACGAGCGGAGGCTAGGGGAAATTCGATTCCCGGCTGGTGATGACTTTACGCTAGCCGATTTAACACTGATGGCAAATTACGTGGCTCAAGCGACCACCCTCTCCGGCAATGACAGTGACGAAAGAAACGAGTAAAGGTTATAGAGCATCAATGAGCCAAGAAGCACCGAAACATTCCCACTAATGACAACAGGTTAGCACCACATGGGACACAGGTATTTACCATATCTGTGCGTTTTTTGAAAAAAACGCTTGAACCAAACGATGATACATGTGATTGTTGAATTGCCTACGTAAATCCAATGTGGCGCCATTTTTCAGAAAAACGGCCACGATTCCAAACATCCCCTATTTTATCAAAAAAAAAAAAAAAGGAAAACTGTAAACTCTGTTGTATGGTTAATGGGCCACACATGCACTCTAAAACTAAGGTGTAGGAAACTGAAAATTCTGACACTTGTATGGTTAGTGGGCCTCACACGCACCTTGCTCCCGTGAACATTAGTCATTATGCTGCATTTGGTTGCACTGGTGTAGATGCATAAGAGTGCAAATAGGTTGAGTGTAACTGCTGGTTTACCTTTGCTTCAGATTTCACATTGTTTTGTTTGTTTGTGAAAAGTAAAATGGTGTATATGCAAAAGAATGGAGCTGAAGAGAGATTATTTGTCTGGGAGTGAACAAGATGTAGTCCCCCACTTTATATGTAAAAGAATTGAGACCGAGAGTAAAAAAAAATGGACAGGAAGAAGAAGGTGGTGCAAATTTTACATCAGTTTCTAAGATGAAAAATTTACTTGCTAGTGAGTGCAAAATAAGACAAAAAAGGTACAAATTTTAATCAAATAAAAAAATGCAAATCATAGTTACGAAAAAAAACAGAACCAATTTGCATCTGTTACATATTTGCACTACAACCAAACGCAGCCTTAATACCAAATCAGATGCACGATCATTTTCCTCCCAAAGTTAACTAGTTATTTTCTTCCACTCCTTACAAAACCACATATCTGGAATATGCGTGAAACCCACCTGTACAAACAGATTAATAATGTTATAAATTGATGATGTACGGTGCGTCTGTACGAGAGCAAGAAAACAAATTTGTATTCTCATGATCTCTCTCACTATCTTCTGATTTGATGAAACTACCTACGGATGCACATTCCTATATGACAACCTCATGTTCTATTCCTGTAATAGGGTTGCATGCTCTCTCTCTCTCTCTCTCTCTCTCTCTAATTTTCAATGGCAAGAGGGCATCTCTCTGCTCTACTGTACAACCTGAAAACAATTTGAAGTACTGTCCCAAAAAAAAAACTGAAAGTCAACAATTGGAATCACTCCACCATGTGAAATCTCCTCAAGATTTAATCAAAGACCTGTACCTAGCCTACCCCCATAATCACCACTGAACATGAAAACGTCATTTATACAGGCAACCAGATGGGGAACCTGGGGATCATCCCTCAAACAGGGCGATACAGAAGGAGAAAATACCCATGATTCAGATAGTCAGGGCATAAATCACGGCAAAAGATATCAAAGAGGTAACAGGTCAAACATTATCAAAGAGCTAGTCCATTTTAAGCACCAAACAGCAATAATGGTTAAAAAGGTAATTGACACATACATGCAGGATTCTTGATTAACAACCTGACAAGAATTTATTTACTAAGAATGACAGGATAAGAAGATTAGCATGCGATAGAAAGCAATCCGCTTCAGCATGGGAGATGGAAAACTTAGGTGGTGTTCACCTATTGTATGATTTATTTTTTTCAAAAACAATTACAACCGCATTGTAACATCAGTAGCAATTGGTAGCATCATCTGAATGGTCTGCAGCTCCTTTTTTGTATTATTTCCAATTAAGTGGCTCAACCAACTCTGAGAAAAATCAAAGCAACCCAATCTGTCCTAGAAAAGGCTAAAACCAAGAACCCTGAGGAAAGATTTAATCGCTAATCCACCCCCCATCCAAATAAAAAGAACAAGAAATCAAATAACTAAGCATGAAGGATCCAATTTTGCTTCTCATATTAAAATCTCAGTGAACTCCAGATCAAGTCTATTGTCCAAACCAAAATAAGCAGTTTGCACAAAAACCTCTCCAAAAACAAGATATGCAAGATTTCAATCAACTAACCAGTCAAGGAGGCAGGTCCAGTTATAATGTTCATATGACTATGCAGCTTAAGGTGAGTTTTGCTCAGATTACCAGCTGCAGAGTTAACACTTATTTAACATATATAAGAAACTCAAATGTGCCATTACATTAAAAAGAACATGGATTTAATAAAATCACATTACATGATTAACTCCAAACAAAAGGCTTTCAATATAATGGAATTCAACATTTTTGTAACAGTAGTTGTACATGTCATCAATGCTTATAACACAACATATGAAATCCTGAGATCCATTATAAGTTTATACAGCTCCATTAGCTGGAAAATACATAATGTGGCAATACAACCTCTTATCATATATTAGTAACGAGTAGCACACATGAAGGCTTTTTTTGTTTTTTTTTGGAGGGGGGGGTGTTAAGGTAAGAGAGAAGGGGGAAGGGGGAGTTTGGTGTGTATGATGTAAACAACAAAAGTGTAATGTGGTATATCTCCATATATTTCCATCAAATTTTATCTGTAATGTTTGCCCATTGCAATGAAGTTGTCTTATGAAGGGAAGTATTCAATTTGTTTGGTAAAACTATAGTAATAATAATCAACTTAATATTTGAATTGCTACTACAGAATAAAAGCATGAGATTGGAGTAGAAAAGACATGTCCACAACTTTCTATGATTCCTTTGGTGACAGAAAATGACAATATCATATTGGATGAATGTATATGCTTAATATTATTGAACATGTTGACATTCTGGAATGCAAGCTAACATCAATCGGCAAATCAATCAGAATGGAAACTAGTGAACAAAAAGCTTCACTTAAGGCAGATAGAAGATCCTAGGAAATACTCACAGAATAAGAATTTGGTGTGAAAAAACTGATCAGTTTTATGCAAATAAAAAATAACAAACTAAGGTTTTTCACCCAAGATCTGGGGAAAACTTGGTGTCCATTAATATTGTTTATCCTGTTAATGAGAGAGAGTAAAGGAAAAGATCAACATTTCAAATAGGTTATTTTCCATTTTGTACTCAACAAATCAAGTAAGATAGAACCAGAAATAGCATAAAACAGTTAGAGAGATTGCAAGCATTATAGCATACAAATGCAAGAATTATATACAAAACCATCCCACAGGCCATGCACCATGATCCATGAAGAGGAGAAAAACATCTGAAAAGACTGTTTTCTCTCTTCAAAAGAAAGCCAGTCACACTTGATGGTTTGAAATGCTTAAAATGATTTTGTGATATTCCTGACAACCTACCAATGAATTGGAGCTTCATTATTAACCTATTCTGTTCTACAAGATGCCAGCCTTTGAAAGCTCTCATGGAATCAGAAAGGGTAGAAGTTGCAAATTCAATTGAAGAAATAAAATAAGAATCAAAGAAAAAGAGAACTCAAGACCTCCTTACAAGAAAACATTCCATTGAATCTTGAGCTAAATCTGAAATTTTCCCAGAAAAAAAAAAGAAAATTGGTAGAAATTACCCATTAGCCAGAAATATTATCCCCTTGAACTAACCAATCTTGTACATCCCATCCAATGTGAGGCACCATAGAATACACATGGTGTCGCCAAAACCTGACACATCAGCACCCCATCACAGCACAGTTATAGACAAAGCTTCCTGACGGCTTGCAAGCAAGGAGGTCCCATTGTGGTGGGCCGTCTTTCGGAGACCATGAATTGAGTTCTATGGTTCCTCCGCCCAAAGCTCTTGGCCCACCAATAACTATAAGCCGTTCTCCACATGCCCTAAATGCAAGCCCCCAACCATTCATTGAGACTGCTCGCTCAGGCAATCTCCCCACTATGTCCCATGAGTTCCTGTTCTTGGCATATTTCTTCACCACCTGCTCTGCATAATAAGCTGCATAAAGCTCGTTGTTTACAACTGCAACCAGAGGGGGTGCGGTTCCACCAGTTGCACCGTTTTGTCCAGGGAACATGTCAGGGATCTCAGTCCAAGTCTTTGTTTCTAAATTATACACCTCCCCACAGGTGAGTGATTTCTCTTGGTTGCTTCCCCCAATGACATAAAACTTTCCATCCATAAATACCCCAGAACACATCTTCCTCGGCTTATTCATGCTTGGGAGAGTCACCCAAGTTCCAGTCTCTGAATTATAAAGCTCAGCTGAACTCAAGATGTTCCCTTCTGAATCACAACCTCCTGCAAGAATAGCAATCTCCCCAAGGCTGGCAGACCCGAACAAGCATCTAGGCGCGTTCATCCTCATGCCGGCTGACCAAGAATTTGTCAAAATACTGTATCTGTATATCACATTGTATATCACATGAGATCTAACCTCCTTCCCAAACACGAGAAGCTCCGTTCCCACGGCCAGGGACTCCTTATCAGAACACATGAAGCATTCATTTGCAGGCATCCTTGGCAAATGCATCCAACGACGGCGAATGGGATCGAAGGCTTCCCACTCAAGGAGGTGGCATGCAAAATAGACCCAATGTTCGATCACACCATTCATCCGCCTCAACCTATAAAGCTCCCCACTTCGAACTAGAGACCGGAAGCTCCGATTGAGAGAGGCAACCAAACCGTAATCAGACCTTGAACAGCGAAGCAGACAGTTGATTGACATATCCCGTCCAATGGGCTGTATGAGGGAATTTAAATCTGATTGATCCTCATGGTTACCCTTGTTACTGGATTCATCCGCGGGAGACGAGGAAAGATCCTGCGGAGTTTGGATCGTTACCTCTTTGTCAAGCGCATCAAGTCGCTTGGATGACTTTCTGTCTCCATGTTCATCATCCCCATCATCTTCTAAACGACGCTTACCATTTGACATCTCAATAAGACGGTAAGTCATGTAAACCCACTTACTCTCTTGCTCACACGAGCTCGGCAACGCCCTCGAAATCAGACAGGACTGACCTTCCAACATTTCTCCCGAATTCAACCGGGAAAAGCAGTAAATTTAGTAGTCCGACCAACCCAAGGCCTCCTTTCTTCCTCACCAAAATGAAATCCACAATAAATCAGTTAGAATAGAAGCCTTAACGCTTTAGCTACTCCCTCGAATCCAAAAAGAACCGATTCGCAAAGGAAAATTGCAATCTTTCAAGCAGAAGGAGAATAAGTGGCCCTAATTGTATATCGATATAAACCAGAAACGCCAATTAAAAGGAGAAAACCGAGGAAAATATTTATTTTCAAACTGTTTCAACCATTCATCGATGCAAATCCAAAAATCACCGATCCAAATGAACAGAAAAATTAAAAATTTTTGATTAGAAGATATCAGAACCCATCTTCAGGTCCCAAATTCGTAACAAGATGAAAGAACCGATGGATCAAAGCGAATAATATATATATAAATATTAGAACGAAAATATCCCTTGAAGGAGCGAGTGCGAGAAAACCCCTAGACACGAAAATTCTTCAAAGCAGACTCTAGGTTATAGCAATAAAGAAGAAATGTGTCGGCTTGCCCAAGACGACCCTGTAATCTAAAATAATGTAAAATTAAAATCAAAATTTATCTTTTTCTTTTCTTTCTTTAAGAATAGAACAAAAGATCCGTTTTTTTTTTGTTGGTAAAATTTATACTTGTTTATTTATTAGTTTATTTTTCATCAGAGAGAAGGTATGGGATTGGAGATCTCAGAGGAAAAGGAGCAAAGAAAATGAACAAAGGGATGCGGACTTACAGATTGGGATAGAAGGAGGCCTTGATTGGAAATTTTATAATTTATTTTCTTTCTTCCTCGGTTCTTCTTTTTCTTCTTCGTCGTGCTTCGATTCTCTCTGCAAATCACGCCCCAAATCTGGAAGCTCTGGGTTGGGCCTTTCGGACTATGTATCTGGGCCTTTATCCCCCACTCTTCTGTACGCGCGCGCTCTGTCTCTCTCTCCCCTGCTCAGGCCTCTATTTATTTTACTAACTTTTTTATTTTTATTTAATATATTTTGTTCTTAGAGAGAAGGTGGACCCAGCAAACGGCCAAGAGGTTCGCAGTCATCGCCGTTTCGGATTGTGGTCGAAGAGCTGAAACTGATAACAGAGACGTTTGGACACGTGCCAAATGGAGAAACAGCTGTACAGAGAATAAAAGAACTCCGTTCTTCTTACGTCTCCAACTCCCCGTTAGAGTCTTAGAGAGAGAGAGAGAGAGGAGCCCTCCTTCAATTTCTCGTGGCTGGCGTCTGTATCTTATCGTCATTAAAACGTTACTCAAATTTTGATCTGTCATCATGCGTTTAGGCTGAAAGCCTGAAACTGGATTATAAGCTGAGGTGTGAACATGACCATCTCATAAATGAGGCCTTGATTCCTTTTTCTATTTTTAGAGGGAGAAGCGTGATCTGGCCAACCTCTGCAACTTGTGCAGAAATCCACACAGGTTATATGGCAAGATTCCACACGTGTAAAACGCCAGAACAAGGGCATCTTGGACAAAAAAATAGTGTGCTATTACTAAGATACCCTTCGGACATGTAATTATATTTATAACGCAAAGTAATCCCAAATACAGCTAACATGTTCAGGGTTGAGAGTCTTGACTCTTGAGACATTTTCTTTTTTCACAAAAAAGAAAACAGCCTTCTTTGCTTTGCACATAATGCACATAAAAGATTGGAGAGGAGATTGTACTAGAGATGCAGAAAACTAACACTGTTCAAAACAATGGAGTGCAAGTCGACTGAAAACATGCAGTGTTTTCATGGAAACCAGTTTCCGCATGTATGTTTGTGCACAGGGAAAATAAATGCTTCTCCATTAAACAAATAAGGCCTATTTCCCAAATCATGACTTATGTTCCAATTTTCAGTAACCCCTTTTTATGGCTATTTTCATAGAAAAGATGATAAATCCAAAACTGTACTAAATATGGAGCAATTTTTTTACGTTTAGATTGGAGAAATTATAAATTAGAGGGAAAAATCCAATATATGCCGTTTCAGTGATTTTTAAATATGTACATCTTTCATCATTTCCAACACTTAATAATTTATTAAATAAATGAAAGAATTGATGCAATGAAATTTTGTTCATGATTTAGGGCATGGCTCAACTTACGGCTACCACGACCAGAAAACCAACATTGTATAATATGTTTATATTGATAAGGATTTACCATATCAACCATCTAATGTATAAGAACAGCTTTTCTTTTTCTTTTTTTTTTTAATTTTTTCAATAGGTCTACTTGCCACCTTCAAAAAATTTGGTTCAATTTCTATAGAAATCCCCCAGCCCCCCCCACCTTATCATAAATTTGTACAAACGAAAAATGAAAATATAGGGTATCGATTCCCATACCTCTTGCATGCTAAGTGAGCGTTTTACCATTTGAGTTACATCCTTACAATTGTTTGCATGATTAATTGTGTATAATGAACTATGAAGTATTAAAATCATCATAATCTAAGAATATATGCATAAGAGAACTACAGTACTTAGATTTTGATGCACATAGTTGATGTTCAGAAAATGTTCAACCAAGCGAAGCTTCTAAATGATGCATCACAAAACAGTTTTAATTAGAATTTGTTAATTTGTTATTGCATTTAGATTCTAGAGAATTTGATCAATGATTAGTAAATGGAAAAGGAATACATGTTGAATTTGCAATATATTAAAATTCAAATATATATTACTTTAAGTAATTATCTTATTAATCCATGAAAAGATTAATCTTATATCTAGATTTTTTGATCTATTAAAAAGATAAGTTAAATATTTTAATAAAAAAATAGGTCTCTCAATTCCTCAAAAAAAAATATTTATCTTTTCGTTTCTATAAAAATTTCAATGCACATCAACAATTTCTTTTTTTTTTAACCCCAAACCTTACTCCAGGTGAAGGGGGAGTCCACCTTCTGATTTAATTAACCATTATGAAATGAAAAATTAGAAATAACAGGTGAGGATATAGCCCGCCCTGCCCCAAGATAGAATTATCTTAGGCTGTTAAACCAAACTTAGATGTTAATTTTGAAGGGAAAAAAAAAAAGAATTGAGCTCATTCCACTAATATTCGTAGAGAGAGAGAGGGGGGGGGGGNGGGGGGATGGACCCATTTAAGATGGTGATATTGTGCATAAAAATGTATAATTAAGAAAGACCACAATGAAATCAGTTCACTTCACTTCATTCAAATATGGATTAAAAGTGTGACTACTTATTAATTGCTATATATGTTAAGCCATAATTAAAATACCTTTTCCTCTCGTTGTGTTTTAATGCTTTTTATTAACTGCAGTTGTTTTCTTTCTCTATAGTCAATTTTAACACGGAAGACATGGTTTTTACTTTTTAGGCCATTCAAAAAAGCTTTACTTAGAATATTAATATAGAAATTCTAAATCGTTCTAGGGAAATTGATATCTGAATTGCTATAATTTTAGGACTTGATTCGTATGAAGATGACTGTGCGTGGCCTCAGCGGTCAGCGATAGCGTAGTAATTTGTAAACCTCATGGAATATATTGTAGTTTGTTGGTTTAGTGATTAGTATACATTAAATAGAGAGAAGAGAGGGAGGCACATGCTGTGAAGGTGGACGATAAAGTAAAACTGGGTGGGTATACAAATAACCTCTCTACCCATGGCTTCCAACTTGTAATACTTATCATATTCTTTTTGAATGGTTCTGTGGCCCGTAATCTATATCTATAGCTCCCTGTGTCGTTACCCCAGCTCTTGACAAATTCCCCTTCGACAACAACGTACGAAACAGAGCTTTCATTTAATATACAAATAGAGGCATATCAGTCACATTGGAAAAGCTTTTCCGTGTAAGAGAGAGAGAGAGAGAGAGATGGGAGGAGGAATCCTTCTCACGCAGCACTCGGCTACTATCTTTTTTTGGTGTTACTGTAAATAGATTCTCGTAATCATTCCAACTTTTGATTATTATAATACATTTTGTAGTCTGAAAAAAATATATATATTATTAATATATGCATAAGAATATGATAAGATTAAGACTTAGGAAGGAGGGAGTGGTCGGGCTTAACACTTCGCTGCCTATCGAGAAAGAAAGGGAATTAGGATGGAAATAATCATCACAATCTCATTAAGTATTAATAACTACTCGTCCCAAGTCTCAACCCTCTTCTTTGGTTGGATGATGGCTTTTCAAATGGGAGGCAATTTAGTCAAGATCCAAACATTGGTCAATACCAAAAAAGGACCCAACGGAGGAGGGCTGGTCTTGTCATCTTTTTCCTCCCATCGTGGTTAGAGTCTATGGAACCTTTTTACCACTCTCAGTTTTATATTTCTTTTTTCATTTTATTGTACTTTACCTTTTTACCCATATAAGTATCTTGGTAAGAGACAATAAGAGGGGGTTTGGGGTTTACCCATTGCCCAACTTACTTAAAGTGGTCAGAATTCTAAATCTAGGAGCTATATAATTATGGGAGTTATGAACGCTTCATAGGTGGTCTTGTCCCTTGCATTAAGGGGGTATCCTAGGACTACTAACAATTTAACGGTTAACACGAGTCCTTCTCTTTCTCTCCCTTTGTGTGTTGTCAGTTGAGGTTGGGGGGAGAGTGGGTGTGTAAAAGACTAGAAGCTACATATATATGTGTGCCAGCCGGTTATAATGAAGTCATTTAAAGATGTCACTCATTTCTTTATTTTGGCATCTAGATCACAAGCTCACAACCTTGTTTATATAAAAAAGAACCCTATATGGGTCCTAGCTAGGTAGATGGGTATAAGACAATAGATACGTGATGGTATTGTCTTACATACACTTAAAAAATAAAGTAAAAAGAAAGAAGTAATGGACGCTGCCGAAATTTGACATAAGCTGCTGACCATCACCATCTGATTGATCCACATTCGTCACGAGTAAGCTAACTACCAAGTGCCATCCATCTTTATTACCAGTCCAGCCGTGAGCCTTCACGGTTTCTCCAAAACGAAAGAAACCGTCAATCCTCAATATATCGAGAGAAATTGGCGAGAAGAGCCGAAGTGGGTTTATTACTTTATTTGTTCTTTCTAAACTAATAAACCTTGATTTAAATATTAGGATTTTTTTTTTTTTTTTTGAGTGTGTATGTGTAATATCGTGTCTGACTTGACGACATCGTGGACTGGGCCGCTTCTATTAGCATCTCGTGCGCCGCATGCGCTTTGAGGGGGGTTGACGAGCTGATGAGAGAGATGTTCTGAACCTGTGTTTGGCACTTGTCAATTGGCTTGGGCCGCGCATCCGCATGGCAGCTTCCTTTTTATTGGTTTTTTTTTTTTTTGGCTATTTATTAAAATAAAAGTAATTGTGGTGGGAGCGAGGAGGAAGATCGAGTTTCGCCGTGGCGAGGCCAAAAACATCGGCTTGGGAAAGCGAGCCACGTGTCGGTGCACGTGGAAAAGCTTCAGTTGGACTGTTCCAAAAGCGCCTGCGCTTTTCAACGCCTGCCTCCTCTTCCATAGTCCATAGTCACAAGTCCATATACTATGTATCTCGATCGCCTTCTCAGCCTTCAGCGGGGAGCCCAGTAGTACTATACGGAAGAATGTCCCTGCCATTATCTCATTATCTATTGTTAGTTTGCTACTACTTTTTCCCTTTTCTTCTTTCTCACCACGTTATATATATTTTTGTGAATATATGACCATAAAATTCATATTTTAACTGGGTAGAGAGATCGTACTATCTGTTTTTGGAGAGTATCACTATCAATCCAACAAAGAAATGGATTTCATGTTTAATGGCTTGAAAGTTCCATATACACCTCAATCCGGTCCAACCCATTTGAACCACAAGTTTGCACCCGCCTGATGCTGCTCGCCTCAAAAAAATAAGATAAATTAATTTGTAATTTGATTTCAACAACTTTCTAGCCTTTATGAAGCCAAAGTGTATTTCCGAATTCCCACCAACAAAATAATTGT